TACCAGTACCCCGCGACTCCAAGGGTTGCCGAGCCAACCACTGGCGCACCCTCGGCGTCGCGACGCACGGGCGCGCCCGCGGTTGGCTTGGCAGCCCTAGGAGTCGCGGGCTATTGGTATTGCGAGAACCTCGCGTGGTTGAGCCTCTGAGCGAACCCAGGGGGCACCTGCTTCCCCTCGCGTTTCCCCCAGTGCCGTGCTCCTCCAGCCTCTCCTGCCGCTTGCAGCGGCAGCAGGGGCAGCGGCTTGCAGGAGGAGGAGCAGCAGCAACAACAGGAGCAGCAGCTGGAAGAGGCGGAGCAGCAGCAGTGCCAGCAGCTGGCAGCAGCGGCAGAGCATGAGCCTGTTTCTTTTTGTTCCGCGGCACGCTGCGCACCAGCGGCGCAGTCCAGAACGCCTAGTACGGGGCCAGAGGCAGCGCCTGAGGCAGCCTGCAAGCCGCTGCTGTGTGAAAGGATATCAGCGCCAGAGGCAGCCTGGATCAGTCGACGATCCCAGTGCGGTTCTTCATCTTCTTGCTGCGTGGCTCTTCGGGAACCGTCTCCTCGCCGTCGCGGCGGTTCCCCGCCCGCGCCAGAGGCGGCGTTCCCCGCGCCAGAGGCAGCTGGAAGCCATTGCCCGCTTCCGCCAACCTGGATTTCCGAAGCTCGCCGCGCTCGCAGCACAAGCGGCACGCTGAGTCGCCATTACTTCTTCTTCTGCTTCTCAGGGGGTAGCAGCTTTCGAAGTCGCTCTCGTAGAGTCGTCGCTGCCACGATCTGCAAGAAAGAACTGTCCAAGGTGTCGCCAGATTCGTTGAAGACGCCGGATCCTGAACAGGCTCTCCACGATCCAGTACCAACGCTCAGCCGCAGGCCGCAGCCTGCGACCACGCCCAACCGAGCCCGCCTCTGACTCAGACTTTCCAGACATCTGAACAGGCGCCAGAGGCAGCGGCACCGCGCTCGCGGTTTGGGGGGCGCGCGAAAAGCGATCTACTCGCGTCCGAGAGCCGAAGCCGCTGTGGATGATGATGATGAGGATGATGGTGATGATGATGATGGTGATGAAGATGATGGCCATGATGATGGCAATGGCGATAACGACGGTGAGGTGATGATGTCAGCGACGCCGCAGATCCTTAATATGATGCCCCCCCAGTGGTGGACCAGTCAGCCTCGCGGACTAGGTCGCTGGTCGTGGAGTCTAGATCTGGCTCCGCAAACGCCTCCCCAAGAGCTTCCAAATTATCGTAATCAACGGTCTCCTGTCCTGGGGATGACCCCCCGCCTTGGGCGGGGCAGTTGGCAGCGTTTCGCAACGGCAAAGCTCGGCTTGGGGACATCTCATACGCGGCATACTCTATGTTATCCTCCATCAGAGTTGACCTCGTCTTCGTCGTCAAGCTGTTCGTCACTGTCTTGACCGGGCTGCCCGTTCAAGGCGATCGGAACGGGGTGAGTCTCGGGCGGTCGATCCCAACCGTCTGGGACGGCGGGGGCCATACCGCTCGGCTCGCCCACGACTTGCGGCCGGCTGGCTGGGCCAGCGGCCGGCGAGATAGGGTGCACGGCTATAGGGCTGGACTGCGCCGTTTCTGGGGACTCAGCAATCCAAGATGAGAGGGCTCCTCGCCTGGCGTTCACGGCTGGGCCGTTCCGCCTCATCGGGGTCGGGGTCTGATCACGCTCGCTGATCGGAGCACGAGTGGGAGAATCGTCAGCAGACAAATCTATGACTCCTCCGATAACTCCCCCCCGAGGAACCCGAGCGAGGTTAGAAGAAGGAAGAGGGCGGCCCTCCCCGGAGCCGCAGTCCTGATGATCTTGCCCGCCATGAAGTTCATGATGTAGACTCGCGGGCAATTCGGCTGTCTCAACATAGCTCAATCCCCTAGCGACTTGGTCGCGGGTTTCGGCTGATAGCCAGTCTTTCCTCTGATAGTCGGGGTAATATGCCAAAGGCAATATGGTCTCTTGATCTCCAACACTGATATCGTGGGCTACATGCTCAGCGAGAAAGGGTTTGGGACGAGGCATGGTTAAGACAATGGATAATCCGTATAGCAAATGGTTAGAAGCACGGGAAGGGAGGAGGCCGGCCGGCCGACGCCCGCGCGCGGGCGCGCGGCAGCGCGCTCCTTTTCAGGCTTGATACCAAACAGCTGTTAATGTATCAGTGTCAAGCAAGGCAGGCGGCAGGAGAGGCAACTAGAAAATGAGGCGGAGAGGGGCATATCTACTGGAGGGGAAGAGTTAACCCAAGAGTCAGTAACGATGCTGGAATAAACCCTCCCTCCAAGCTCCCTCTTCTGAGGCCCCTAAAACGGTTCATTTTCATTGAGGGAACTGCCTCGTTGGAAGACAGCCGTTTGAAGACCCTGAAACATACCAAAACATTGTTCTCGAAATTCCAACGCCACGGATCAACCTGACTGTTGCGCCTTGGCGACCCTGAATCGTGTCAGAACGCCATTTCTGGGACCTCAACACAGCGAATCACCGTAACTGTTGCATAACCCTGAATCCTTTCAAACACACAATTTCTGGTACGTTGATGATGGGAACCCGTGAAACTCCTGCAACTTGTATTAACGAATGTGCGCGGCACTAAGGCGGAACCACATTTTGAAAAGGAACTGCCCTCAATCCGTGAAACTATTGAATCTTTTGTTCAAAAATGCGCCGCGCTGAAGCGAGAGCCACATTTAGAAAACAGGTCGCCCTCAATCCGTCAAAACTCTTGCGAATGTTGAAAACGTGCGTGCGTCGCGCAAAGGCGAGAGCCACATTTTGAAAACGGCCCGCCCTCCATCTGTGAAACTGCTGCCAGTGTTTAAGCTTCAGTCATAAGTGGTGAGGACGTCTCAGGCGAAACGTTGAGCAGGGACCGACCGTCCCGGCATTCCTATAGGCCTACCACGAAATGTTCTTAGATCCCGACAATGTTCTAATAACAAAAACCATGTTCTCAGAACATAAACCGATGTGTGATGACAAGACAATACAAGCCAGAAATGTTCTACGAACATTTCGTGGAAACCGCAAAAGGTTCTTAGAACATTGTTTGGTAGGCCTGTAGGCACGCCAAGACGCTTCGTCACTGCTTGAAAACGCCCGGCCCGCCCTAAAAACTGGCCTCGGGGTGGGACAGGGGGAAGTTATGTGTAAGAGAGAGGGATGGCAAAGAAGAAGGAGGAAGGAGGGGGGGCAGCAGCAGCAGCAGCGGGAGCAGCAGCAGGCCCGCCCCCGCGGCGCGCAGGCGCGCGCCGAGTCCCGCGGGTGCCGACCGGCCAGGCCGCCCCCCTGGCCGAAACCCAACAAAAGAGCAGCCGATCGCCGACGGCGATCGCCGACGGAGGCCCATGAGCGGCACGCACAGACCTGGACCCGCTCGGGTCATGAACAAGTCACGACGGGAAATTTGGGGCAAGATTCAATCGGGGATCTACTGACCAGGGTCAATTCAGACCCGGGTCAGTCAGGCTTTGCAGGATCCTGTAAGATCCTGCAGCATCCTGCAGGATCCTGCAGGTTCCTGCACCCGAGCCTGGGTCAGTGCAGCCCTGGCCCTGCAGGATCCTGCAAGATCTGGCGCACTGGCCGACCCCCGTTTGCATTGACCCCCGTCTCTTGAGCCCCGATTTCAGCCTCTGGGGGCCCTCGCCGGGCCCCGGGGCCGCCAAGAACAGAGCTGTTATGAAAAACTTGTCCTGGGGAATCGGTCGAGACCCCTGCCTGTCAGGAAGAAATCATAACGTCGAAGGTCTGGGGAGGCCTCCTGGATGAGATCGGAAGATTGCGGCGGATCGCCGATGCATTGCCGATGCATCGGCGATGCGACGTCGGCGTGGAGAGCATCGGGCTCCACATCGAGCCGCAACGCCAATGCATCATCGATGCGGCGCATCCTCCGACCCCACCGACTCCGGCCCCACTGTGGGAGACCCTGAACCGATGCACCGCACCATGTGTGGACTCAGGCCCCCCTCCGACGCGGTACGGTGCACAGCAGTCCGGCTCGGAGGGGCCGAGAGACTGTGCACCGTACCGCTCCTGGGCCGAGGATCAGCGACGCCTCGGGAAGCACCAACGCGGCACGGTGCACTATCTCGGCGCGAGCCCGGGAAGGAAGGGAAGGACTTGTCAGAAGGCGGCGCGGCTTCTCAGAAGCCCTTCGGCCTTCTGAAAAGTTTGCCGCGTCTTCAGGGGAGGCTCAGAAAACTTCTCAGAAGGCCGTGGGACTCCCGAGCCATCCGAGAAGGCCCGCCCCTTTTCACTTCTCCCCCGGCTCGCCGCCGATTCCCAGGGCCAGCTTTTCGCCCGGGATCCGCTCTGGATGCCCCGGGGCGCCCGAAGACGGAGCTCGGAGGCCAGAGCTGAGCAAGAGCTGCCCGCAGAGAGCCCGCCGCCCGCCGCTCCGCTGGAGGTCTGGGCCCGGCTCGGGCCGCTCGGCGAATCCGTCGGCTGGCCGCCCGGGCCGGGTCACCTCTGCAGGCCCTCCTCTCGGCGGCGAGCCCGGGGGGGAAGCGGGAAGGGGCGGACCTTCTCAGAAAGGCTAGGAAGACCCCCGGCCTTCTGAGAAAGCTTCTAAGTCCCCCTGGAAGACACAGAACACTTCTCGGAAGGCGCGAGGGCTTCTGAGAAGCCCTGTCGCCTTCCGAGAAGGCCTGCTCCTTCTCACTTCCCCCCTCGCTCGCCGCCGAGGGAAGGGGTGGAGACCTCAGGGGCCCCAAGCGGGTTGAAAAAACAATGAATCGAAAGTCTGGGGTTTCGGCCGAGCCTGGGAAACAAATCAAGCACTCCTCTGTGGCGATCAATATGTGAATTACCTGAAGCACTGCTCCTGCCACGACCCTCCAGTCGGCCAGGGAATGTGGCGTGGATGAAAGCCGAGCTTCTGGAGAGAAGAAGTTAGAGCAAAATTCGATCAATGCTCAATCTTCCCTGCCGCTCAGAGTGGAGGTCCTCAGGGGGGGGCGCATGGAGTGAACATCGATCGCCGATTTCCAGGGCGCGCGCAAGTCAT